GATTAATGAACAGACCTGAGATGGATGTTAAGCGGAGGGGGGGTTGGGGGGAAGGGGGGGGGGGGGGAGGAGTGTTCCAGCCAGCATCGGAAGAAGCGGCAGTGATTTGATGGAGAACACATTTGAATGTGAGTGACGACCTAACCCGACGAAGAAGACCCACAGCTCCTCCACCCACGGACCCCCAGCTAAGCTCCCCTCCCTCACCCTCCATTTCTAAATGTGTGATAACAAAGCATTGATCAATACAGCGGACTTTCCAGTGAGCCAGTCCAGAGACCCCCCCCCCCCCCGCCACACACACACACACACACACACCTCCTCTTTGTTCCCGTGCCACCGCAACCGCATCCGTGTTGGCACAACAACCCCACTTCTGCCTCTCTTTTCCTATATAGCTTGTCGCACTCAAGAGTTAAGCCCCCCTTTCTGAGAGCCCCCTTTGCTCAAAAAAAAAAAAAAATCCCTCCCTGCCTCCGAGCTACTTCTGAAATGTTCATGGTTTACAACCATTAAACTCAAACCCGCTTCTTGTCCATTTCCAGATATATAAGGAGCTCTCTGTGAGCCCAAAAGGAGGAGGGTGGGGGGGCACAAAGCGCTTGTTTGTGGGTGATACAGTGTTACAGCGAGAGGAAACATGCGCTACACAGCGACATTGTAACAAGTGGGGATTCGGCTTTTTTTTTTCTTTTTTTTCTTTTTTTGCGCAACAAAAACAAGTTAACTCACCACAACTCCTGCGGCGCACAGATGGGGAACCCGTTCCGGGAGAAAAGATGGCCAAAAGAGAGGGGGGTGGGGGATTTTATCCGCTCCTTCTCTTTCCACGTTTTTCCAACCCGGCCCCTGTCTCCACACCCCAGGAACAGAGAGGAGTGTGAGCGGGGTTGGGGGGGAAGCGCAACCTGGGACACACTGCCAACACTTCGCAGTCAGTTTTTCCTGCTAAATCCAGATAAAGATGGCTCCCCCTGAAAAGCACACCAGTTCTCCAGGATCTGCTGTCCGGTCGGAGGTTCCTTTGTTTGTCTCCTTGGATGGTAAAACCCCCACAGTTTATCCGCTGTATCCGGGCGCGTCGGTCGACTACTCTAGTCCGCCATGTTGTGTGTCTGTCTGCATAGGAAGAATGGGAAGGAGAGCAAAAAAAAAAAATATTCCCAGGCCAGGCCCCGACTCCTCTCCAATCTGTTTCTCCATACCAGGCAGCGCCCCCTGCTGGTAGAGCTTCATTTTGGACGCAGCATACTGCAGCGCTCAGCAGGGGCATGTCCCAGAACATTTATTGCACATGTAGCAAGATTTTTTCCTGTATTTATTCATGCGGAAGGATATCAGTAATTATAATTAAATTAAATTAATCCTATATTCTGATGTTTATTTCCCCTTAAATGATGACACATTTGTAGGGAGTACGTGTTTGTGGGTTGTATGTCGGTTGCATACTTTTTGCAACAGCTTTTGGTGGAGGTAGTATGATGATGTGGGGGCGGCATCTCCTGTAATGGAACAACAAGGCGTGTCATCACCTGAGGCAATCTCAGTCCAGAAAGACATCAACAAACGTTTCTGCAAGCAGCAGCAAACAGATATCTATCCGTTCTTAGGGCCTGAACTCTATCGTCCAAGGATGGCTGAGCGTGCTCTGGGGTTATTTGGGGAACAGCTCCAGAATTTGGGAGAGGAGAAGATGGGCTCCTCTCTCACCGGGGTTGAGTCTTGAGCTCAACCCCCGGTGAGAACTGCTGTTCAAGCCAGCATGAGCCAACATTTCTGACTTGCTGCTGCAAATGTTGGTTGAAGATTAAGATGTCATTCCCCAACAGCTGGTGTCCAGCAGAAGGAGGAGGTGCCAGGCTGTTTGTTGAATAAACTATTAAACTGCCAGGATCGTGGGTTTTTTTTTAAACTGCAATCATCATTTCCAGTAAATGTCACCAAACACGGCGTCACATGGCTCAGTGGTAGACCAGGCAGACAATATTTACGCAAGTTTGATACAAAAAAAAAAAAAAAAAAAAAATTACCAAACCCCCAAAAAAAAACGCCCCCGAAAAAAAAGAAAGGGAA